TTAACAAACAAAAACAAATCAAAATTACCGTGATAGTCCAAAAGCTCTATAATATAATACCTTGGTGAATAATCATTAACTAACCACTCGAGCATTTCTCCTGAGAGATTAGCCATAACACAATCACAGTGATCACCTATTTTTGATAGTTATGGTATAGTTACTTATCATTAGATCCAGTTTCAAGAAGTGCTTCTTGTTACCTACCATTATAAGATTTTAGAGTTTCTTTTGACTCTATTCAATAAAAAGAAGAAAGCTAGGTATGTGTACCTTTGCATTTTGAGCACCCTTCTTGCCCATAATAACTTAAACGTCACGTAGCTTTCCCATGGCTTTTGGTGGTATGACTACTGTCGCATATCTGCAATTCCACATGTAAGGGTACCGGCACACTTACAATTCCGTCTTCGAAGGCAGCGATTACGATTGGTTCTGGGTAGACTCACAATCGGAGAAGAAGGGGGTTCCAAAGGTGCCCCTTTGGGGAAAACACAGAAATCCGTTAAGAGGACGCAAATCTTCCTGGTCCACACTAGATTTATCGTGATAACTGTTTTTGAATGCAGACAAAACATGATCAGTCCCGTGGAATCATTACCCAGATGATCCAGCCATATCACAGACAGCAGAGGTAAGGCCGATGTCAGACTTTACAAAACGAGCGATTCGCTAACGTCGCGGCCAGCCAATCGCTCGATTGGCTGGTACCGCAACGCGACCGCGGACGCTAGCGAATCGCTAGTAGCGAATCGCTCGATTCGCAAAGTCTGACATCGGCCTAAGGTCACGTAAAGTTTCTCTGCGCCGCGGAGCACAAGTGTGTGTCCTGTCTCGTATGGCGCAGAGCGGATGCCCATTTCCCTTTGCATTGCATCAGGAATTGAAACATTGAAGGGAGCAGTGTAGAATGAACCAAATCTTGACTATGTATACTGGTTTTCTCTTGGTTCTGCGGTACGATAGATGGCGCATCGTTCTCTGAGATATGGTACGCCATTCTAACCCTCATTTTCAGTATAACTAGCCCTTTGAAATCAACTTAAAGGCATGCCCCAGGATCACATTGGTGTGGCTCTTGCACACGAATGCGAATGTATTGGTGCGAAGTGGGCCGGCAGTAAAGAAAAAAGGAAAAGAATCCGTCGAAAACGCTTAGGTTAAGGGCTCACTCACCTTCCTAATCGGCTGTGCTAAGGGAATGAGAGACTAAGCGCGGAGAGGAGAGTATGAGGCGAGAGAGCGCTACAGATGAGAGATCGCCAGACAACAGCCTGATAAGAGAAAAAATCTGCAGCTTGGCAGCTTACTTTGCAAGGCCCAAGCGCTCTTGTCGGTTGGTTTCCGTGCACGAGAACGCCACATTTGTGATTGTCCTCTAGGGGTCTATACTACAGACCGAAGAGAAGCGTTCACACGACCTCTGCCTGGGTTGTGCCTTTAAAACGGCGGATATTATTTCGGATACATACTTGGATGGTCGTTATGGGCCGATGATCTTTAGCGGAGAGCATACGCTTCCCTCCATTTTTGACCATATTGGCATTTGGGCCTCAGTGTTGGTTCGCAGCTTCTTGAAGTTTCTTCAGTTAGTCGTTCCATCGCATGCAGGACGGCCAAGTGTACGTTTAACGAATTTTTTGCGCGATACTACCGAGAAGAATTATCGATACTGATATTTAATGTTGATCCTTGAGATTTATCACTTTTTATTGTTTTAAAGTGCACTACTTTCAATTATTTCAGTCCACTGTACGAAATAATATACTTTTGCTGGCATACACTCCTATCAGGAGCTCTTCACTATCAAAGAATTATGAGGGGTTCTTGACTTTGTGGTCTCTTAACCGAGTTCGGCCATCATTTCTTGGAAATTTCTAATCCTACTTAAGTGATTATGAATATTTGTCGCGGCTGGGGAGTTCTTCTCTTAGATATGGTTCTATTTTTAGTTGTTTTCTGTTCTTAACGAATTAAAGAAAATCGTCATTGCCGAGATAGCTCATATCAGTGCAATTTCCCCAAAAACTGAAGGCAATTCCACGAATCGAGATCATTGCAGAGTACACTGAAATCACCGGCAAATTAGAACTTGTGGGAAAATAAGAGTAAAGAATAAATGATATCGATGACAAAATAGAATCAACAATTTTATGCGAAGGATTCACAGATAGGCACCTAATTTTTTCCAGAAATTTTCCGACGAAAAAAGATGCGATATAAAAGTTTATGAGTCGGTCAGCCAAATCGCGCAGAAACCCTCCATTACTCCTAGGATCCCTCGCCTCAACCGGATCACCCTATGAGACATAGAAACTAACTTTAACATCGCGTAATTGCCAGGTGCATGGCTACGGCCAGTTTCAAACCACTTTTCGATATTGTCGCATTGAAAAATGATGTGATGCTCTTCCGTCAAAAAGATGAAAGCTCTGTCACTTGGAAAATCCTTTCATTCTTGATTACCCACCCACCAGACGGTTTTAAATTTCCAAAAGATAAAGTGAAGGATGGCGGATGGTGGAATAGGGCCTCCCGTGAAATGGAGACGCGCACTAGTTATTTGTTCAGAAACGTGGTAGCATTTGAATGCGTGTGTGTTCAGTGCAATGGGTCCAGCGACGTCCACTTGTTTTTATGCTCTCATACAAGTTGGCACCAATTAATTCACACCGCTCGGGTAAGAGAGAGCTGAGATTCCACTCAATCATAGCGGCGCTTCTTAGCCACTTTGCTAACTCCGCCCATTCAAGTAAATATCATACTCGTACCTTTGAACTTCGAGAAGAGGGGACTATTTTTTGAATGCGCGGAGACCTCAGCAGGAAATGTTTTGAACTTCCCATGGAACACTGAAAGGAGACCTAGGTGCATCGATAGAGTCTTGGGCGTTATTACGAATGTAGACACTAAAGCTGAACTTTGTAAGCAACTTGTGAGCCTTTAGAGTTGCAAAAGAACGATTAGTGATGAGGTGCAACCTATGTGAAAAACACGGTTGCTTTTCGCCTAGATTTCTTTTCTGTAAGGGTAAATAGTGTGCCCTGATTACGAATACGGGACTCGTATTTGGCGTAAAAGCCTGGGCGACTGTGATTCACCAGGTAAGCTCGGCTCCGTAACGTTTTTCGCCAACTGTGAAGGCCCATAACATTTTCCTAGAGTTACCGCAGCACTTTTAGTGTCCATGCTTGTAATCAGCGTTGAAGACTCTATTGATACATCTAGGTCTCCCTTCCAAGTATCATAGGGATGTTCAGAGCATTTTCTGGTCAAAAATAGATTGGAAATACTAGAAAGATGAACGGATTCGCATCAATGCTGAATCGTTCTTCAGACTTGATTCTAGAGTGGGAACAAATCGAAGGCATTGCTGGTTGTAGGCATCAGTTCGGAACCTGAATTGGCTCACAAATGTTCTTACAATCAAGATTGTGAAGACAAGTTAGAGATCTAAGAACGGCAAATTTTTCGCGGTTCTTACAGAGTTCCAAGACCATCATCTACAAGCTTCACAACGAA